ATCAGCCCCGCTGAACCGAGGCTCAGTCAACAGCAGGCTCAGTAGCCTCGGACGAGGCCACAGGCTCCACCTCCAATGCCCCAGCAGCGGGAGAGAAGGCATAAAAATGCCCCCCGCGCTGCCCCGCAAAGGAGGGAGGAAGAGGCTAGGAACCGGCCCGGACCCTCTCACCAACTACCAAGGTACGAGGCCGATGACTACGATTCTGATGAGCAGCAGAGGTCCTGTGACTTGGACGATGATGAGAAGAACCTGCCATTCTCAAGAGAACTAAGGAATGCCCAGGTCCCGAGCTACTACGTCATGCCAAAAATACCAAAGTATGACGGGAGAGGCGAACCGGAGAAGCACCTCAACGCTTACAAAACTCACATGAGCCTGAGGGGTGCCACCCTAGCCGTGAAGTGCAGGGCTTTCCACTTAACTCTCAGTAGAGCGGCTGGAATCTGGTATAGTAGGTTGCCACCTGGGAGCATCCGAAGCTGGCCCGAGTTCAAGACAACATTCTTGAAGCGATTCGCAGTGAGTAAGGAAGGAGAGGCCCCCATCCAACGTCTCCAAGACATGAGACAGGCGCATGGGGAGTCCCTAAAGAGCTTCCTATCACGCTTCACCGACGAGATGACTTACTGTGTACAAGTCACCGACAGAGAAACACTATCTGCATTGAGGGGAGGCCTGGACATGAACACCCTATTCTGGAGGGATGTGCAGAATCAAGACCCCACCACCTATGACGCCCTACTAGAGATGATGAGAAGGGAGATAATCAATGAGGAATTGATTGAGCATAGGAACAGGGCAAACAGAGGCCTCCCACCTCCTCAAAGGCAGTGAGGTAGGGGTCCGACCTCCCACCTCATGGACTACCAGATGAACCAGACCGGAAATGAGAACTCTGGACAAGCACTGGCCACCACAACTCTGAACGGGGTTCCTACCTTGGCATATGAGGATGTCAACCCAATTACTGACCCACATCAGATGGAGGCCCAGCGGAGACCCCGCAGAGGGGGAGGCCGAGGCCGAGGCCGAGGCATTACACATAGATATAGGTCCAATCTGAACCTCTCAGGATACTGTTTGCACCACAGGTCCTACGAGCATGACACCGCGGATTGCAGAGATTATGCACATCGCTCTCGACAGGAACCGGCCAGAGACAGACATGATTCGCCCCAGGCGGACAGGCCCCCGCCCAAGCAGGACAACCGACGTGGGCGTGAGGAGGCCGCCCCCCGTCAAAGGGATGAATCCCCACGATGAAGGGAGCGGGATGCAGAGAGGCCCAGGGAAGGGCGTAGGCACCGAAGAAATCGACACGCTCAAGATGAGGCCCCTATCCACGAGGTGGATACCATATTTGGAGGCCCTTATGTTAGTGGTGAAACACGAAACTCCAAAAGAAATTATGCTCGAGAGGCTAAACACCCCCCTTTGACGAGTTACATTGTGGACAATAGCTCCCGAAGAAACCAAGTACCACCTATTGTCTTCACCTAGGAAGACGCCGAAGGAGTTCATTACCTCCATTGCGATGCGCTTGTGGTGAGGGCTGTCATAGCCCGGAATGGGCTCAAACAAATGCTAGTCGACAACGGCAGCTCCGTCAACATCCTGTTTGGGTCCGCCTTTGACAAAATGATATTGGACCATCAGTTGACGCCCACCACCACTCCATTGTACGGATTTACCGGAGATAGCATCACTCCGAGGGGAAACATAACACTGGCAGTGGAGATGGGAGAGTCTCCTCAAACTGCGATGAACTTCATGGAATTCCTCATAGTTGACAGTCGATCGGCTTACCACGGAGTCTTGGGCAGACCAGCCCCGAAGGAATTGGGAGCAGTCACTTCCATCCACCACCTATGCATGAAATTCCCGACAGAAAACGGGGTGGCAACGGTGAGAGGCGACCAGAGAGGCTCGAGAGAGTGCTATCTAAGCTCCATTAAGAAGGTAGAGCCCCGGGACGTCTACGTGATCATGGCTGATGTGGTCATGGCGGATGTCCCAGGTGACGCTCCTGCTAAATAGGAAGATGTTGATATGATTGACGTGCCGCTTAATCCGGAGGTGCTGATCATTGATGAGATTGACCTCCGCATAATGGAACATGAGCCTTAAGCATCCCTTGTAGAGGAACTTGAGAGCTTCTCGGCCGACCCCCGAGACCCTTCCAAGGTGCTGAAGGTAGGCAAAAGCCTATCCAACATTTTGAGAGAAAAGATTAAGGACTTCCTAGGCAAGAACCTTGATTTATGTTCGCTTATTTCGGTTCCTAACCACTTCGACTTCCTCTTCAAAAGTTCAACACCTCGCCTACTTCATCGCTCACCCACAGCAACACTTCTCTAACTCCAACCATGATATAAGTATTTATACTTGGACTTGGGGGACTACTATTTGGGGTTCAAAAATTCTTTCAATTTTTACTCCATTAAAGTCCAAGCATTACATAAATGAATGTACTTGGACTTGGGGGACTATTGTTGTGTGTTGTCACATCTGACATCTGGCCAACCTACCTGGGACAATGGCCCACTCATGGCGATCCACGTGGCATTCCTGTCGAGGTGGCACACAATGCCGAGGTGGGCTACATCCAAACTGTTTCGAGTCGAAGTCCATCTGCTGAGGCTCCTTTTTGTCCGAGGCCCATTGACCGAGGCCTACGAACCGAAGCCAGGCTGCTGGAACCTGTTGAGAGTAGCTGTGGCCGAAGCCTCGAAGCTGATGCGCGAGCCTCTGAACCACAAGGAAACATCCTCCATGGTCACTTCTCCCAAGAGATCGTCTGCACAGATCTTATTCGAATGATTGATAGAACGTTTGTCATAAGCATAAAGGTCAAGTCTTGTCACTAGCATGGAGGCCCTGCACAGGCAATAAATGCGCCGTAAACTAGCAAGTCAAGCCCCATACCTAGGAAAAGATGTTTGAACTAAAGAGATGAGGTCACGTGCCACTTCATCCAAGGGCTCCCATTTCATATGTACTACTATAAATACTTCCCTTGTGTAATATCAAAAGACTAATGCAAGAATCAATACAAAGAACTACATTTACTCAACTCTCTCTCATTTTACTTGCAATACACAAATCGAGATTATACATATTTACATATACATTTATGAACACCTGTTGGTAATTATTGTACAATCGGATTACCAACAACCCGTCGAATTCCGAACGTCACCGTCCCGCGTCGTTGGGCTACTCCCACACCCTTTGAACCACTCATTTTAGACCGTCCACGTGTCTTAGCGTGTTGGACATTCGCCCACGCAAGCGCGGGTGGGACCAACATCTGTTGGCGCACTTTTTGGAGTTAACACTACTTTTGAAATCGGACAACCTTTAGAGGCTCAAGAAGTACCACTAGTCGTTGGAATGGATGAGATTTAAATCTCCTATTGGGTACGATCCAAAGCTTATATGTGCATACCGACTGCTTAGGCCAAACTTGGGCTCTTGGGTTTTAGGATTGGGCTTGGCCCAATATATTCTTTTCGAACAAATAAATAAATTTATTTTAATCTTCCTAATTAAATAAGTTGAAGTTCAAATACAATAAGGTAAAAATTCAATTCACCAATGAATGAGATAACGCTGATTCTAGAATCTCTCTCTTGTAGGAACATGCCATTTTGACATAATCCAAAACAGACAGCTGTCCTTTCTCCCTTTCAAACACAGCTTCTATGTTTGATGGCCGATAGAAGCCCTTGCTTGATGATCACCATTTGGAAAAAATAATATTTTGAATAGTGAGTTTTTGGGAGAACGTATGGTTAAAAAGTAAAAAAAAAAAAAAATTAGGTTCATATATAGAATATTTTATTATGTGAATGTGTAGTTAAAAAGAAGTTTGTAAATTTATTTATTTTTTCAAATAATGGCCATCAAAAAGAGAAATTGGGGGAGAAATGATGTTTTGAATAGTAATTTTTGAAGAATATGTGGTTAAAAAGTAAGAAAATTTTAGAATTATGTGTAGAATATTTTATTTTGTAAATGTATAGTTAAAAATAAGTATAAAAAATAAAAAGTTTTAATATAAAGAAAGTCAAACAAAGACTATAAATTAGTCCTGTAAAATTTGCTCATTTTTCTTTCATTATCATTTTGCCCTGCACTCGTAGTTACATAAGTCCCTTTTTAATAAAGAGAGTACAATAAACATTTATGGTTGGCAATTTTTGTTGTTCAAAGGGTTGATATCGCAAGAAAAAATCGTTGTATTTTCGGAGACTGTTGCTTAACCATGAGCATTAATTAGTGCAAGGCACAATCATCTTGGAAATAAAGAGATGAACTCTTACTTCGATCTATCTTTTCTTAACTTCTACATTTCTGATTTTTGCATTTTTCTTTTCAAGCAAGTATTTTGCTTGCATTTACTCTACTTGGGTATTCTGCACGTTAGTTTAAATAACAGAATAATATAATTTGCATAATCTTCTAATACATTCTCCATTGTGACAAGATTTTTGATATCTTAATCAATATTGTCAGACAACATATGTAGTATTTCGTTTGATACGTCGACAAATTTCATGACCATTGCATTGCAAATTGTTTGTAAACAGCTTAGCAAGCTGTTCGGGATCTTTTTTACTCCCAATTTTACAAAAATACCCCAAATTCAAAATTTTCTATATTCAAAAAAAAAAAAAAAAAAAAAAAGGTTGACCCCCAACCTTGAGGGCCCGCCCCGCCCCGCCTCTAAAGCTTTGTGAGGAAAGTAAATCGCGGGATGTGCCCCAACAGGCCAGGGAACAAGAGCTGTCTGTACACTGCGCCCAGGGGCGGACCCAGACCATCTGAACTGTGGGGTCAAAATTTTTTTTTTCGAACAACGTATCATGAAAAAAAAAAGAAAAATCGCTTGTTTGTTGTTCATGTTCGATATGTACACTTTGGGAAGAAATCGTTGGATTATATGATATATTTATGGACTAAATAATGGATACGTAAAGCAAAGAGACACACACTACACACAATCACAGAGAACCAATGTTAAAAATCATAACTTTTTGATAAAAGAGAAAACACACCCAAAATTGAAGTAAAAGAATATGATTTTCCAGTAAGATTGATGAAACCCAGTTCCTTCTTTATCTTCCCCTTCAGTCCAGTCTTTCTCAGCCGCCACAGAGATTTTTAACGCTCTGCGAAGAACCAATATGATTACACTGTAATCAATGTAGAAGAAACCCCAATTTCCTCCATAATAAAAATTCAATGCTCCAAAAAGGTAACGAATCTTGAAACAATTTACCCAAAAATTTAACCGAAAAACAAAAAAGAACAGAAATTAATAACAGTAAAAATGTAAACAAATGCATTTGACTCACAGTATGAAAGTTAAATTTTAAAAAAAAAAAAAAAAAAAAAAAAAATTCCAGAAAACTGTGGGGTCATTTGACCCCACATGACCCCACGTGGGTCCGCCCCTGACTGCGCCTACAAGAAATTAAATTCCTTATTTCAGGAATCGAACTCCCACACTGCGGCTACCAGTAAAGCGTGAGATAACCTCACTCCTATCCTTTGCACCACTAAGCTATGCCTCGGAGGGCAAAATTTTCTATATTCTATCGCACTTGTCCCAAGACAACACATTGCTCCTTGCTCGTAATTATCAAACTAGAGACTCCACTATATTTAAAACATATAATCAAGTTAGATTGAATTATTCGATTTCGACTATTACAATCAAGAACCATACTAGACTAGACAATTTTTTGATTTAAAAGAACTGAAACAGACTTAAATTTAGTTCATGTTTGTTTCCCATTTGTCCTGCATAAAAATAAGTTTTTTTTACCGTTGGAAGCCTGCAACTCACCCACAATGTGAGAGTTTAGTAAAAAAAAAGGGGTCAGGCGGGGTCCATTAACAGTCTAATTTCTTCTAAAAATGAGAAACAAATGATAAACAAACAAGGACTTAAACAAATCGGATCAGATCGGCTGGCTGAGCTCAATCTCTTGTGATCTATATTGCCCAATGCTAACTCTAGCCAAACCCATGCTGAAAACGAAGGACAAGAGTCATGAAAAATGAGAGAAAAACCAAAAGGGTCAGAATGCAAAAGTCTTGGTGTGAGTAATGTTGAATTGTGTGAAAAGTGAATGGAAACAACTATTTATGAGAAAATAGTGGAAGAGGTTTTCAATATTTGATTAGTGTAGCACTTAGATCCTTAGATCCTCAAACTTCAAAACATAACATTTAAAACCTCATCAATATTTCAATTTGGTAGTAGCGAGGTCATATATCTAACTCGTGATTATGCCCTGTGACGATGACTTCTAGAATATGCTTGTCCTTTTTTCTAAAAGACGTGTATTTTTGGATAGGATTTACCAAGATCAGTCACATTTATTGACCAATATGTCTCGGTAGCTGTGTATTTTTAGACACTACTTTTCAACTATTACAATTGACCCGATATTCCTGCCTAATCGATTCAATTCTTTGACCTTGCTTCCACTTTCATTTTGCCCTGCATTCTTAAGGCAAATCATCTTATGAACAAAAAGTCGAACTTTAAACTTGATCTACCATTTTCTAACTTCTTCGTGTCTTGTTTCTGCTTATTACTTCTCAAGTAAGTACTCTGCATATTTTTAGTTTATGTTGGCGTTCTACGCGTTTATTAATAAAATCTCGTTTGTCCGATCTATATTAAGTGGATTAACACGATCTTTTTATCCGTTCAAAGTAAAATCACTAGATGATCCAGAAATTAAAACAAAAAACAAAAGGGTGAACTACCAGAGCTTGGCAGGATCAAATAGTCTCAAGAAAAGTAATCCACACTCATAAATTATCTCATGTTCGTGAAGAAAATAAAATTTAAAACAGTAATGTTGATTATATTAAGCAGAATTACCTTTGTCTTGGATAAAAATGTAGCTAGTTAGCCCAACCAGTTGAAAGTCAATGAAGGAGGTGGAGTAATGAAGATGTTTGTTGATGATCATCTAATTATACCACAAATGCTGCATACAAAGTGCAGGATTGATTAGATGACCATCAACAAAACATGTTCAGAGCACCACTGATTAATACACAGTTTGCCTTAAGCTTTAGCAAGATAGAATTGATGTATATAGTGGGGTGGCGTGGGGTGTTATCTCTACACTCTCTCTCACCAAGCAAAGTATATTCTTTGAGAATAAACCTTTCTTGATTGATCAGCACTGTGCACATCTAAATCTGGTTGTTGACTATTTATTACCATATTAGACGTCAAAAGTTAAAGAGAAGATGATGGCTGACATAGAGTATTTTTCAAAAAAATGCGTAACGAAAAGAAATCAAAATTTTGAGATGCATGTAAAATTATTTTACCGGGCGAAAGTGTGTGAAAATGAATTTTAAATTTTTTTTAAAGAATGAGGCTCAAATATAGATAATTTTCATTCAATTACATTTCATTTTTCTATCTCCTATTTTCAACCACATAATCTTTCATAAAATAATATTACGCGTAAATCGAAGACTTTTTTTTTTCTTTTTCAACCACTCATTTTTCAAAAAAACACTATTTCAAAAGGGGGCCAAACGGGGCAATATTTGATTATTGGGCGGAGTTAGTATAGTTTTGTTATAAATGGCTGCGTTTAGGACAAACCTATCCAAAGTGGTTTTGGTTTTGTTTTATTTAGATTTAAACGATTGTATGTATTAGAATGTTGAATGGTTTGATCCAATTTTTTACTCTAATACTCGAAATTGAACTAAGAGTGTTTGATTCCCATGAAAAGTATCACTTAGAAAATAAAATATTTTCCTTGTTTTGAAAAAAACAAAAACCTACTCTCCCAAAAAAAATATTTTCCTTAAAAACAAGAAAATTAAGCATATTTTCAAGGTTAGAAAATATTTTTAATGGAAAAAATAACAATCAAACACTTATTTGGAATTTGGGTAGAAAATTGATATTTTCCAAAATAAATACAATCAAATACACCATAAACTTTTATTTTTAAAAATATTGAGGCTGGTCCAAATTCAATGCACCAACCAAATGGAAGAATTACATTTTAGCCCTTGTTTGAGCTCCATTCTTCTAAGAAATCATTTTTTCAAAACTCATTTTCAACAACATATTTTTCAATAAAATAATATTAAATACAAATTCAAAACATTTCCCGAATTTTTAACCACATATTCTCCACTAATCACTATTTAAATGCATTATTTCCCTCAAAATAAGGTTCAAACAACGGCTTAAAGCAAATCATATCCACCCTTCTTTTCTTTGTAGTGGAAGTATTAACCGACATTATCGAAATTATCACAATAATTTTTTTCAAGAATTGTAGGACTTGTTCAAGAATTAAAATGGACTTTCTGATTAATGAGGCGATTCGATTCCATAATTACATTTGTTCTAAATGGTTCAACTTATAAGGGAGTATTTGGTTCATTGTTTTCAAACTGTTTTCCCTTTTGGGTATTGTAAAGCATCCAAAATCTGTTTGGTATGATACTTTTTAAAATGCATTTTTGAAATAGAAATAAAGTTTATAATATAAAACTCAAAACATGGAAAATAAAAACAATCTAATTCTTCGTTCCTTAATTTCAGAGACCATGGAAATTCATGAATATTTTTTTAAGTCTCTCGTGGAACTCTTCATAAACAAATTATGTTTGCTGACCACGATATATCCTGAACTTTTTAACTTATTTCAATTTAGTCTCTGCTTCATTATTTTTGTTTGGTTTTGGTACTTTTTCAACATAATCTTTAATATTGATCCTGCAACTTTCATAGGCATCCAGGTCTTCCGTAAGTTTAAAAAATGTGCAATTTAATTCCTAAACTTTTAATAAGTTGAATTTCAGTCCCCGAAACTTAAAATTTTCCTTCAATTACTCCCTTAATGTTTCCTGTTAATCACGCACAATCAGGCTAACCTTCAATTGCGTTGATACAACTCTAGTTAGCTTAGAATCATCATTTTTGCTCAAAATGCCTAAAGGTCTAAGTTTTACCTACAATTACAATATTTGACATAAATTAAGTAGAATTTTGCTCAAATTTACTATATAATTCAAGTTTATAGCACAAATAAGCGTATAAAATAACTTATCATCTTCTCCAACGTAAAAGGAAGAAAGTGAGTAGGCAGGTGATTTTTTCGAGCAGGAAAGTACAAGTGAAAAATGATGATGATACTCTTCTACGCGATGATATGACACCTAATGAATGTCGATGTAAGGAATCCAAGATCAATAAAGGTGAGAAACTTGAGGCATATACGACGCAGTGATCATCTACAATTTGTATAATGAACGAGGATATTGAACTTAATATGTTGTACCTAGAAGAAAAGCTTCTATGCATTTGAGAAATCATTTTATCAATCAAGCGATACTAAAACCATTAATCGAATCCTTATTCAGCGCGTGTATGGGTGCCATTTTTGACCAAAGAACTCATTTTCAATCACATCAGTAGAGCCCACCATTTAAGGCCATATGTATTTGATTATTGATGGTTATGTTTGATTTTCAACTATACCCCCGCTCCTTTGGTTAGACGTGTGCATGTTTTGTTTGGAGAGAAGCAAAATTGGTAAAGTGAAATCAAAACCCATTAATGTTACAGTTACATGTCACTTTTGTGTTGGACGAAATGAGAAAAAAAAAATTACTTCACAGACCAACGGTCATATTTCTTCTAAAAATGTCAAAAAAATAATAATAATAAAATAAAATAAAAAATAATGGTGTCAAACAAGGGCTCAAATATGGTGTCCCTTAATATCTCTTAAACAACATGGAAGGGACGTCTGATGAAGCTTATTTCCTAATTTTTGTCAAGTCAATTTATTATTTTCTTGTATTTATTTTATTTTTTATTAAAAAATATGTGATTGAAAGGAAAGAAAAAAAATATTTTAAAATTTTAAAGGAATCAAACAAGGGATCAAATCAAACGGCACCTAAGATTCTCTATTTACACTGGTCTTGTTCATTCATGTTATAAGACCCACAGGAAACCAGCGAATCGAGACCAGTTCCGGTCCGGCTGACTTATTTATAGCAATGTGC